CGGATTAATTCCGTAAGTAGAGGGTCCACTGTAATTAAATTGTAAACAGCCCAAAGAGTGCTTAAAACATGATGGGGGTATATAAGCAGGATGCTTTGCTTTTTGCTTAAGTGGGGTGGGGTGTTGTGACCTATTTAAATGGTGAATGGCCACTCCCAAAGGCTTCCAGGAGCAACAAGCAATTCATCATTTTTGGGGGTGGGAGGAAGCTCAGACAAGTGTGAAGGCCACAACAACAGACTTGTGGGGGGTGTCACGTTTTGCTTTCCTTCATTTCAAGGCACCTTCTGTGGCAATATGTTTCTCTTGTTCAAAACCAAGCTGAGACTGAACCACAGCATATGAAGGAGGGATTGTGCCTCTAAACCAGTGTGCCTGTTGAAGATGAGTTTAGAAGGGTCAAAAGAGTCCTAGTCACTAAAATATTAACCTGGTAAGACGGCAACCTTTGTACCTTAAACACCCTGGTCAGCATTCCAAGATTGATTGATAAATTGCAAGCAGAGAAGTAAACATGGTCCAGGATGATTTTTTTTATAAAGAGGGAAGGTAAGTAGTGTCTTTAGAGAAACAAACTCAGAGCAGAAGTATAGATTTTGGGGCATGCTAAATAAACAAGATGCATTACTAAATAGAGGCATTATCAGAAAGAAAACAATGCTGCATAATATGTGGGCATACTGATTTCGACATTTCCTATATGCATTTTGTTATTGGTTAAAGGTGGTCTATGCCCCAATGACCAGTGACTACCTATACTATTTGCGGAAAGATGTCTTTGCCAGTTCATGGCATAAGGGATTTATTGAAAAACTACATCTCTTAGGCTTCTCTATGGACTTCTTGCTGAGACAGCCTCAAGGTAGCATTAAACCAATACTTACGCAACGTGTCAAAGATATAGACCTTCAATACTTTCTACCTTGTGCAGACAAAACGTGTTCACCTGTGTGTTTTGTCCTAAATTTTAACTTCCCCCAACCCAGCTAATTACCTATATAATAAATTACAGTACTGAGATATTGCTTTGCCTTTTTAAGGGCTAGATTTAACTGCTTTCCCTCAGCCCTTTTAAAAGGGTGTTTTAATGAAACCCCATATGGGGAAAGGCTCTGTCCCTATGGGATATAAATTATTGAGACCTTGGCGCACATCATTTTAAAATGTAGCTTATATAGGAATGAACATGTTCGATATCTTGGTTCAATCATGAGTAAATGTACTGGTCTACCTCCCACAGACTATCTGAAGTTTCTGTTCTCCGAAGAGAATCAGATAATGCCATTAGTGGCTACATTTTTATTTTCAACTATGAGAATTCGCAAAATGCTGTAGCAAGATTTTATACTATACTATGTATTTATTCTATGTACTTTTCACTCCATAAGACGCACCTCTCCATAAGACTCACCAAATTTTTAGGAGAAGAAAACAGGAAAAAATAATCTGTTTTCTTCGCTCCATAAGATGCACAGACTTTCCACCTCCCTGTTTTGTAGGGAAAAAGTGCATCTTATAGTGCGAAAAATACGGTACTTATCTTTGCTTAATCGGGTTTATGACTGCATCATAAAACTTAACTTACCTATATGGGAAGAAAAAATGACTATAGTTTGGGATAAACTCACTTGGTTGGAGAGGCAGAGTTTGGGAGTTCGATTCCCCATTGGGCCTCCTGCTAACAGAGCCAGCCTGTGTGGTCTTGCGCAAACTGAACAGTCCCAAGGCTGCCCACAGAAGAAGGGCACGGTAAACCAATTCTGAGTACTTTCTACCTGGAAAGAATTGCCATAAATTGGAATTGAATTGATGGCTTATAATTTTTATTAGGATTTCAATATGAATGCATGTTACCACAGCAGAAAAGATTGTAACCCCCATGGCCTATATTTCTGCCCAGATGTTAACTTGTGTTTAATGGGCAACACCAAGGCCCTGGTCAACTTTGTTACATTTTATATTTAAACTGGATCTGGACAACCCTTAAAATTGATGTCTGTCTTACATAAAGTAAGATACATGAGCCAGACTTTTAGACCTCCTTTAGCAAAATGGAACTGAACCTCTGTGAGACGGATCTGGAGCAAGAAGAATTCATCAAGTGACGGTGGCCGAACCCTCAGCTCAATGGTGGGACATCTTCTTCTACTCCTCTCCACTTCAAAATGCTCAATTGGCAGGAAACATATTTGCTGCACTCGTATATATCCAATATGCTCTGGACTACATTTGTAATGAGTTCAAGGAGGGCTAACAGAAGCCTTCACATTTAAACCCCAGAAGCACATTAACTTAAAAGATGAACAAAATGTGTTGCCACCACGCTATGTATTTTCTCTGGCCTCGTTTTAAAGAGAGGCCAAATTAAAAGTAAAATCTGTAACTCACCACCCCAAACATCTCCTGGCCAAGTTTGGGAACTTGATGAGTACTTGGAATAGGGACCATCAAGGAACACTGGGAAACTCCCAAATAGGATAAAGAAAGTGTCTGACGCCCCAGAGAAGCTGCTACTTGTCAGAGTTGACAGTACTTCTATAGGCCATGCCACACACTGAGGCAGATTTCACTATTCTATTCAGAAGGTCTTTGGTTCAATCCTTAACATCTCTTACTAGGTTTATTAGGATTAGCCAAGACCAAAGTGTCCACTTAAAGAAACTTCAAGTATTGTTTCACTTTGACAGCCTACTGTAAAGTAGCTATAAAATAAGTAAATCCTATCTCTGAAACTTGGGTACAAACTGGTGGTTTCTGCTGGTTTGTTTTTGGGCCAAACATTCTCAGCCCTACTTACTCTGGTTGGTACCCACTCAGAGGCAGCGTCCAGAGGAGGCAAGGTAGGGAAGCCAGGATGCTGTCCCTGAGTGGGCACCCATCTGAGGTGGGAAGGCTGGGAAGCGCCAAACATGCATTAGATTCAAAACCGAACTGGCACACACCACCAGTTCATGCTGATCTCTACTATCTCCCTTATAGTCTTCTTCTTTTGTGAATGTGAGAGTGAGTTGGTGTGGATGGTGGGGGCGTTGCTTTGCACAGCTCTGTTGTGTCAAGATCCATATAACTATTTCTGCTTATAGAAATCTCTTCTAAATTTGCACTAAATTTGCTTTTAGATCTTTAAATTAGTGTACAGTATACCTAATGAAGGGGAATGTGTGTGTTCTTTTTCACTTCTGTCTTTCCTTTTATATCTCTCCACCACCATTTTTTTTCTTCCTCTTTCAATGTGTAAGTGGCAATTCTAGCTTGAGGCAACCAGAATGAGTGGCAGGATTGTCAGTGAAACCACATACGTTCTTTGCTTCAGGAAGAATCTGAAGCGGAGATGAATTATCAAGCAAAACCTCGTCCATGTAGCTGAAGGTGAATTTCACTCACTGAGCAGTGCAATAAACAGTATTGTAGCATCAAGATGGCCAAAAGCAAAGCTGCAAATACGGTACTCATGACATCTGTATCCCATGTTCTAAATGTCTGAACCCCAACCGTTTCTGAGCTAGAATTTCTAGACCAAAGTCAGGAAAAGCAGCCATGGTAGTAACATCATTCAGCTTTGGTTTTTAAAAACATAAGAAAAGGAGACGTGGTTCTAGGACATTAGAATGTTGCCTGTAGTGATCTGCCTGGCATGCCTCAAACTCTTGCAATGGATCATTGTGGATCTTCAACGGACTCAATGCACCAGTGTGAGCCCAGATGTCTTTGTATCCTCAAATAGTCTCCCACATTGAGAACATACTCTCAAATATATCCTCAGATATCCTCCCACAGTGAGAATCCCAGGTAGCCGGCTCAAGGTTGACTCAGCCTTCCATCCTTCTGAGGTCAGTAAAATGAGTACCCAGCTTGCTGGGGGGGCAATGTGTAGCCTGTATAATTAAAACTGTAAACCGCCCGGAGAGTGCTTTGTAGCGCTATGGGGCGGTATATAAGTCCAATAAAATAAATAAATAAATAAATAAATATTTGATGGGTGTTTGGGGAGGATTCTTGGTCAAGTGGTACATAGACGCAGCATTCAGACTGCCAATGTCAGTTCCATATTGAAAGCCGTGTGCTCCTCCTAGGACACAGCAGTATTACTAAGCAAGTTCTGATCATATGAATATTCTCGACTCTGAGAAATGGGTCTGCTCCACTCCCACTTTCGAAGTGCTGCTAAACTGATAATGGTAATACTCCGTAGAACCTAAGCATGTGTATATATGTGGACTTCCTTTGGCTAATTATTTTTCATAAAATGACTGAATAAGAGATACTTGTGCTTCACTTCTTGGGCATAAGTACAGATTCTTCGTATCCCATTCAGCCTTTGTAGGGTTAAAAAGAGGATCAGCTATTTGAACAGGAGAAAGGGGAAACTGGAAGCGATGTGATAACAGTGGATTGAGCTGCTGGTGCCAGAGGAGAAGGCACATAAAAGCTTAACCCTCCACTCCCACCCGCCAGAGTCTAAAGTATCCCCCAATACTCCAACCACTGAGAGACTATGGAGGGCTCACACTGAGGTCACTGCATGTATGTATCCCTTTCCACTAGTCATGTCACAGAGCTGCAGAGTAAAGAGAGAGATTTGTGTTGCTATTTAGACAAACTTTTTTCTGCATTCTTCTTTGTTCTCTCACTCAGCCTAATTAACTCAAATTTACTGAAATAACCCCTAATCCTAATACTTCATTTTCTTATTTCTTTGATGCAGTTGTTCTTTTTTTTTGGCAATTGTGTAAATGGCTGCCTTATTGGAGAAGAACTATAGATCCATGGTGCTTTGCTTGCAGAGGCCCCAAATTCTGTATTTAGCATAAAGGATTCAGTAACAGATTGCAGAAAAATGTGCCTTTCTTCTTGAGATGCTGGAGAATTTGCTGCCAGTTAGGGTAACCAATATTGGAATAGACTGACAAGCAGTTTCATCTAGTATAAACTATCTTTCTGTGGTCTTCAATTCTTAAACTTTTGTTCATTGGTTGATTATCCAATTCTCTCTTTTAAAGGTTGAAAATAGTATGCTTTTCCACTGAGGGTCGCTAAACAAATTCCAGTTGCATTCCCAAGTACAAGATTCACTCCTGGATCTCGAGGCTGGCCTCTCACCATGTCAAGCGAAGCAGAAGCAACAAGTGTAAACAATTCTCCTGCCCAGCAACAGACGCTACTGAAACCACAGTCTTCCAAAAAGGAGAAAAAGAAAGGTAAAGGATAAATTAAGGGGAATTACATCTACAGCTGTTTAATGCAATGGACGTGTCCATGAAAACTTGTGTAAAAAATATAAAAGGTAGTCTTTAAGGTGCCACCACATTTTTTGACTTTGTTTTTAAGCACCTAAAAGATCGTTACATCGTAAAAACAATGTTTCTTAACAGCTTCTTCTTTTAAATACCCATTTTGATGAATGTTACATAAAATAGTGGGTGGATATTGACTAGAGATGGGTATGAACTATTAGTTCAGCAGTTCATGATGGTTCATCCATCGATCCAGCATGTGTTCCGCAGTTCTAAGCCCCACCTGCTCTGGTGGGCACCCAATCAGAGGCAGTGCCCAGAGGAGGCAGAGCAGGAAATCTGGGACTCTGTCTCTAAGTGGGCGTCTGCCAGAGGAGGTGGGGCTCAGATTCAGTTGCATGCTAGGGCAAGTGACCAATGGCTGACAAAATATGAAAACCATTTCTACAATGGCTTTCACACAGTATTTTACAATAGGACTTTAGCCAGTGAGGTGCTATGTTACAGAGGTAAAGAAAGATAAAGGGAAGATAAATGTACTGCTGGAAATCATAGGATGATGCACTGCTCTGTGTACAAAGAAAGAAATTGGTATGGTTATTTTCTTCTCCTTCAAATAAAATTATAGTATTATAGAGTTGTTGTTTTTTTCAAGCCACACATGTCTCACCTGAAATCACATAAGTCACAGAGGTTAAGAATCACTACTGTAGTTTAAAAGGGCCTCGCCAAAAACTCCAAAAGGTCCAGTCCAGAGAGGATGTGGTTGGGAAACAAACAAGGAAACTCAGGCTGCTGTGCTGGAGAACAGCTGTAGTTCAGTAGTACAGCATTATCCCAGGTTCAATCCGTGGCATATTTCGGTAGGGCAAAAGAAGAATCTTGCCTGAAACCCAGGAGAGTAGCTGCCAGTCAATGCTGGCAGTACTAGGCTGGGTGGATCCATGGATCAAGCTTTGTGACTGGCAGCAGTCAGAAGAGCCTAGTGTGTGTCCAGCAAACCATCACTAGTAGACAATGAGTCTAAGAGCTGCCTAAGAGTTCTTGACCTGAAACCAGCCTGCTCAGAAGCCTTCCTTTTTTGGACCTTTTCTTCATGGTATGATAAAGTCTCTGTCCAGGGTTGGAGAGAGCCTGTGGGTTTTCTGACAATTTTTTACTGCAACTCCCATCAGCCCTAGCCAGTGGCAAAGGACTGAAAGATTTGCAGTTATGCAGTTCTAATACCATTAACATCTGGAAGGCCAATGTTCATCCCTGGCAATACAAGGTTGTAATACCAACTTTGAGAGAAGCAGACCAGGCTGTAGGAGGCTGCCACCTAGGGCCTTTCCCTAAATAGCATGGTCATCAGATCTGTTACTGAACAAATGCTGGACAGAAACCTGCAGAACATTCTGTAAAAAGCAAACAGTTGCTACACATTGAGGTTCACCGTGTTAAATTGTAATTGGTGGAAAACATGCTTGTGTCTGTAAAATGCACAGATGTGGGAAACTGCCTGGCTTTTATAAAATGCAGAATTAAGAAAGAATGTTTCCAGGCTCTGAAATGCATACATGTCGGACAGCACAAATAAAATGACATGACTAAAAACTGGCTTTTTAGGATCAGAGAAGACAGAAGAATTCCTCTTGGCCAGATTTCAAGGAGATGGTGTAAGATACAAGGCCAAACTCATTGGAATCGATGATGTCCCAGAGGCGAGGGGAGACAAGATGAGCCAAGATTCCATGATGAAGCTAAAGGTGGGTCTTATTACTTCCTCCTTCTTTTGGGCACTAGATAATAAATGGCTTTTTCCCTAAAGCACTGTCACTTGATTGAAGGGTTCCCTGGTCATCAGCATTCCATTTCGTGAGATTTCAGGGCCAAAACCTGAGACCAGGAAGTGGGCCCTTGTGATATCACTAGGGCAGGGCAAGCAGAGGTTGAAGGAGGAACAGAATTGCTTATGGGCCCGGTGTTTCTCCAAATGATTCCAAGATGCTCCACTCCAAATGGCAGGATTAATGTCACTATCCGGATTCGTCGCTATGCGGGGGGGGAACCCCATAGGAACGCATTAAACTCCATTTAATGTGTTCCTATGGGGGAAAAACTCACTGGTAAGCGAAGATTCCCCCATCCGGCCGCCATTTTCGCTGCCTGGTAAGTGAGGGCAGGGCGTGAAAAGGCTGCGGGCGGCCATTTTGCTGATCTGGTGGCCATTTTGGAACCGCCGATCAGCTGTTTTCTAACCATTGCAATGTGAAGATCGGTAAGCGAAACGCTTACCGATCATCGCAAAGCAATGTTCAGCCTATCTAAACATCGCAATGCGTCGCTATGCAGATTCGTCGTTAAACGGTGCGCTCGTTATGCGAGGCACCACTGTACTTGATTTAGCAGCAAAATGCCCTGAATCTGTATAGTGTATGCGGAAAGGGGAGAAGTATTGTTAGGATAGTCCGGTGGTTTAGGTTTCTTGCTGTGGAGCCAGAGGTTGCAAGTTCGATCCGCCACTACACCTCCTTGATAGAGGCTGGACTCGATGATCCCTAGGGTCCCTTCCAGATGAGGATGAGCAAAACGCAAAGCATGCTGCTTATATAGCACCCCATAGTGCTCGAAGCACTCTCTGGGCAGTTTACAATTTTAATTATGCAGGCTACACATTAGAACAACCTAGCTGAATTTATTTGTATGTCTTCAGATTCAGGTATTTTCTATATGGATTCTGTTCCTCAGTGTGGGAGAGAAAGAGCACCACTTTCGAGTGGCCCTGAACACTTAAGGGCTTTGAGAAAACATGATATTAAGATAAATGCACACTTGGCTAACACAACATATTAATTAGTGAATTCAGTGTTTGGAAAATGTCCGTTCAGTAGCATCAGAACTCGGAGATAAGATTTGATGCCTGCAAATATTCCAGAGGGAGCCACTGGGCATGAATAAATCAGAAAGTTTGGCACCTTAGCAAAGACAACGGTTTCCTGTATCATTATATAGACTCAACCAAACATTTGGGCCTTTGTCACCCAGTCAGACCCTAATCACCACCTTGTAATTCAATTAATTACCTCCTGCTGGATAACTCAGGGGTTTAAGTAGGCTGGGAGTTTGATTGTCCACCGTGCCTCCTGGGCGTAGAGCCGACCTCTGTGGCTTTGGGCAAGCTGCATAGCTCCAGAGCACCCACAGAAGAAGGGAATGGTAAATCCACTTCTGTATATTCTCTACCTAGAAAACACTGAAAAGGTTCACAAGTTGAAATTGATCTGATGACATGCAATTATTATTAAGGTTCCCCTTGACATTTAGTCCAGTTGTGTCCAACTATACGGGGAGGTGCTCATCCCTGTTTCCAAAGCCGTAGAGCCAGCGTTTGTCCGTAGACAGTTTCCATGGTCAGGTGGCCAGTACAACTAGACACGGAATGCCATTACCTTCCCACTGTGGTGGTACCTATTTATCTACTCACGTTTTTACCTGCTTTCAAACTGCTACATTGGCAAGAGCTGGGACAAGCGATGGGAGCTCACTCCGTCGCGTGGATGCGAACTGCTGATTTTTTGACCTTGCAGCCCAGAGGCTTTGCGGTTTAACCTGCAGTGCCACCACGTCCCAATTATTATTACTGTTTATTAAATATCTTCTTCACCCAAGAGACCAACAGACCCTATTATTGTCATCCCTACCACACACTCTGTGCCAACAATTTTAACACCCCATTCCCCACCCTTGAGAGATAAAGACACCCCATTCACTCAAAAGCTTATGAAAAATAAAAACAAATTTGTCATAAAGGAGCTACAAGATTTCTGGTTTCTCTTGTGCTACAACAGACCAACAGGGTATGAACTTGAGTTAGTCCTAGCCTGTCAGAAGGTCATGGCTAGGTGATCTCTGGCAAGTAGGTCCAATAGGAGATGACACACTGCATGTGCAAGAGGATGTGGAGAGAGTTAATTCTCAGCAATCTCTCATCTAGACTGCTTCCCTGTTCCCTCAATGATGCATTTACCACTGGGCTGAGAACCACCATGCTAAATAAATTCCAGAAGTGGAAATCATATACAGCACTTGCCAACAGCCATTGGAATCTGCCTAACAACCTGACTGCTGCTGAGTTGGCATGTACAGTGGTGCCTCGCAAGACGAATTTAATTCGTTCTGCGGTTAATGTTGTCTTGCGAAAAATTCATCTTGCGAAACGCGTTTTCCCATAGGGATGCATTGAAATCTAATTAATGTGTTCTTATGGGCAAAAAAGTCAGAACAAAATCAAATTTGGTTTACAAGGGGTTTATGAAGTGCTCTTTAAAGCCATATGTATTGTGCAGTTGATTTAAAAAATTTCAATCAAAATACTAACTTTTAAACATAGAAAAACATTTAAAAATCACAACTTTTAAACATAGAAAAACATATCAGCAAACATGAGGCAGGAACAAAAAATGGAAAACATTCTTCTTGTGAAGCATGGCTGTAGAAACATTTGTCTTGTGAGTCATCAACCCCATCGCCAAAACCATTCGTTTTGCGAGTTTTTTGTCCTGCAAGGTATTTGTCTTGCGAGGCACTACTGTAGCTAATTCTCCTGTAAGAAGAATTTGCCTAATCATGCAACTAGTCCTAAATGAGTGATTGTGAAGGAAATGGAAGGCAATATATGCGGTTGTTCAGTACTTAATGATAAACTCAAACGGAACTCCTGTGCATTAGTACACTTTGGGTGGGGAAGCTTTTGTGTTCACTTTGGCTTTCTGTCCATAGGGGATGGCAGTCGCAGCTCGCTCTCAAGGACAACATAAGCAGAAAATATGGGTGAACATCTCTCTTGCTGGGATCAAGATCATAGATGAGAAAACAGGGGTAAGTTCTGCACTCAGCTTGTCTGGTAGTGGGTTAAGCTCACTTTTGTTAGAGAACTACTAGCTTTCTAAACATGAAAAGTCAAGGTCTAATTTTAAATCTGAAAATGTGCTTAACAAAGCAGGAGCTTCTCTTAGGCAGATACTTCAAAGAAGTGTACTAACGTTATTAGCCCATAATAGCTAATTATTTAGCAAAGTGAAGTATCCTTTAAGCAGTTCTTGGGGTTTCTCAAGGACTGCTTCAATCCTTTTAGAAGTGTGTCAACTCTACCTTGCATACACCAATTTAATCTTGGCACTCTTCTCTGTGCTGAGTCAAATATTAAGTAATTGGCGGGATCTTCAAAGCATGACTTAGCAGAAGTATAGTGGAAAGTTTAGAAGCACATATGCTCCTCATGGCATTCCTCATAGCTAACAGTCCTGCATAATGAGAGTCTGAATTGAGGGCAGCTGGAGCTGTTCATATTGATAAATGAGGTGCAGATATTTTGTAAGGTTAATGGCTTCTAACTGCCCATTCAAGACCAAACTACTTCAAATACTTTGCAATATAAGAGGGGTAGTTCACAACTATATACTGCTCCTGGGAAGCCCATTTGTCTCCTAGCTACTGTGAGGACTGCAACTA